GCATTCTTTCCACTAAACCCTCTCTCTCTCCTTGAAGCTTCGGCTCGCCCAGAACAGTGTTGTTTCATCTTGACAGGATGGGATGTCCTCTACTACAAAAGATGCTAGGCTCTGAGTAAAACCAGACTCACTAGGAGAAATGTCAAATATGTCAAGAAGCAAAAGACTCAGGTATAGAATTTGCCTCAAGATTGTCTCAGAGATCCCCCAGTCAACTCCAAGGGTTGTAGGCCTAACAATGCCCTGAAGCAAAAACCCTAGGCCACCAAAAATTTGCAACATTTCTACAAAAGGAACTCCCCTGAGATCTGGATCAAATCAGCATCTGACAAGCTGCTTGTCAAGGGTGATTTCAGTGTAAATAGAATGATAGAATGAATGAGGGATGGAGAGAGGGAGGAAAGAAGGGAGGAGGGAAGAAAGAAAGAAAAAAAGACATAATAAAGAAAATACTGGAATAAAACTGATTTTTAAGACTGGACTCATCCAACAAAACATTTTTTTGAGTGCTTATGATGTCGCCAGCACTGTACTAGGGCACAAAGGAGACACAAGATAAAGACGCCTTTCGGTCCTCAAGATCTTGCTGACCAACAGCCAGAAAGTAAGGTAAGTGCCACAGTGAGTCAGGGCTCAGGGCAGGCACTACCAGGTACATTTAAGAAGAACCTAAGGAATTTTGGGGTGTGGGGGGAGGAGCCTCCAAGATTGGAGTCTTCACTTGCAAACTGGTGGAATGAAGGTGGCAGGGATCAGTAACAGAATGCCTGCAAAGGGATCAAGGGTCTGAGGGCCAGAGGGGCCTTGCTAAACATTGCAAAATATGCCTCCTTGGCAAGCAAAGGACTCAAACTCCAGGTGAGGACTGACTACCTCACCTACACACAACAAAACAAAACAAAAGGAATCCTGGCACAGGTCGGGCCTCACTGACGGACACTGAGGGAGATTTGGGCAGTGAGCACAAGAGGTGGCACTGGGTCCAAACTGGACAGCTCCTCACCTGTGCCATCCATGGAGTAGCCTCCAGCCCCATGTGGCTACTTACATTTAAGCTACTTAAAATTAAACAAAAACTTAAAAACTCAGGTCGTCACACACACTGGGCACATTTCAAGCACTCTACAACCACGGGTAACTGGCAGCTACCAAGTTGGAGAGTACGGAGAACGTTTTCCTCACTGCAGAAAGTTCTCTTGGCTAGCACTACCCTAGGGATTTTCAATTTTTGTTACTTTCAGTCAAATCGACTGGGTAGTCCTATGTCCACGGGTGGCTCCTGTTGTCTTCTAAGAGTCACACGCAGTCTTATAAGCACAGGAGAAATCAAGTGTTCTTAAAAATTATAATGAAGACACACAAAACAGCTTATTCCCCAGTTAAATCAAGATGGACTGTGAGATAGAAAGACCCAAGACAGAATCAGAAAGAAGATGTGCGGAACACACGAGTCAGAATGGCTAAAATTAACAAGTCAGGAAATGACAGATGTTGGCGGGGATGTGGAGAAAGGGGAACCCTCCTACACTGTTGGTGGGAATGCAAGCTGGTGCAACCACTCTGGAAAACAGTATGGAGGTTCCTCAAACAGTTGAAAATAGAGCTACCCTATGACCCAGCAATTGCATTACTGGGTATTTACCCCAAAGATACAAATGTAGTGATTTGAAGGGGTATGTGTACCCCGATGTTTATAGCAGCAATGTCCACAATAGCCAAACTGTGGAAAGAGCCAAGATGTCCATCGACAGATGAATGGATAAAGAAGATGTGGTATATACACACAATGGAATATTATGCAGCCATCAAAAGGAATGAGATCTTGCCATTTGCAACGACATGGATGGAACTGGAGGGTGTTATGCTGAGCGAAATAAGTCAGAGTCAGACATGTATCATATGACCTCACTGATATGAGGAATTCTTAATCTCA